CGTCGTCAGCAGGTCCATAGAAATAACAAAACTGCACAACAAATTTATGCAAAATGATACATCCCGTATACTTCCTTCTTATCGATCAACAGACAGCTCATTGCTGATGGCTGCATCATTGCAACACTGTATGCAGGCTTTCTTTGTTTATTTGAGTGCATTCTTTAGATTTTCGAGAAAGTGGATTGTTATTCTTATTTCATCTTTCGGAATGCTTTCTACACATCTCATGTACCTTTGCATTTGTTGTGTATAAGAAGAGGAAAAAGAAAAAACGGCAGCTTTTAATTGATATGTGAACTTACAATAAATACTTATTTCTTTTATACTTATTTATTTACACGAATGATAATTAAATATTGTAATAAATATATTAGTTTATGCGCATTAAGATGAAGGAGTTCATTCCAATGTACAAGGAAGAAATGACAACCAAGATGAAACTGTTCATGTCAATGTTAACTAAGATGAAACTGTTATGTCAATGTTAACTAAGATGAAACCGTTCATGTCAATGTTAACTAAGATGAAACTGTTCATGTCAATGTTAACTAAGATGAAACTGTTCATATCAATGTTAACTAAGATGAAACTGTTCATGTCAATGTTAAGTAAGATGAAACTGTTTATGTCAATGTTAAGTAAGATGAAACTGTTTATGTCAATATTAACTAAGATGAAACTGTTCATGTCAATGTTAACTAAGATGAAACTGTTCATGTCAATATTAACTAAGATGAAACTGTTCATATCAAAGATTAGACTGTTCGTCTCATTGTTAACAAAGATAATTAGCCTCTCTCCTATTATGATGTTTCTTTCGTCTTGGTTACAGTTTATATGTAAATATTAACTATTCAATTCGCATTAAAAGAAACACTGGCCTTTTATAAATTATTTTTAATATCACATCAAAGCACGGAATAAATTCATGCTGCGGGATTTGTCAATGACACTTATTCCGTGTTATTAATTAGAGAAATAAATGCGACTAAGCATGCTGGAACATTTGTGCTGTTCAGCTCTGTTATGAAGAACTTATCCAATTAAAATAGTTGGAAAAGTTTAATATTTTATTAATCAGCATACTATAATAATCGAATGTCATTTATCATTTAACATGTACTAGAATATTTGAATGTTATATACAAATTAAAATATATTTTCAGTTCAGGGTTTGAGATCAACATGTACCTGTGTATAATAGTTACCCATATATAACCTATTTACCTGTGTAACAATAGGCTGGTTGTCCTACATCAATCAGCCAATCGCTGTCGTGTGTTTCCCCTGTAACACACGTTTAGCAGCAGCAGCAACAGCAGCAGCAGTAAGGTTGTTTACCCGTATCTCCATCACGAAGTCACGTGACGTCCTTGCTTTTTTGTACTTTCTTGTGTATGAACTGGCAACCCATTGTATACATGTGTTACCAGAAGCTTCTATCTGTTAGCACATTCGTAAACAAAATCATTTGTTTGTTGATGATTTGTATTCACGTGATTTCAACCATGAAAAAAAAATCATCTTTTAATCATTTTTTATTACCATTGTTACATTGTATCCCCACTTTTAATTTCCCATCATCTGTATTGTTTTCAAAAAATGTATTTCGTGAGTTTTTGTATTGTGCACAGGAAATCACCGTATTTATTTCAATTAATGATTTATTTCTATCATTGACAATGTTACTCAAATATACATACTTATAAGTTTTAGAACCCAACAATAGAGCAAGCTAACAATGCCTTTGTATTGTACAGCAATACCTACACGTATAATTAAGTTACATTAAGCTACCTTTTAAGCAATATGTGCTAGTGTCCAACATTTAGAAGATAGATGTAAATAGATTTTTTACGAATATTTATTTTTCAAATTGGTTTTGAAGTTATTAAGAATCCACTCCTATCATAATTGAAATAACAAATAATATCATAATCAGACAATGAAAGAGTTATTGGAAATATGGGGTGAAATGATGAATAATGACTGTCTTATAAAAGAACGAACTTTTTTTTCAATATCTATTCAGATTTGCAAATTTGCTAAATGAATGTATAAAACTGTTGGTAGTATATGTATCAAAGGATGTACTTAATGGTTTGTAAAATTGATAAGCTGGTCAATAAGAACACATATGATAGGGGAAAACACACTAAGTTATTTTGATATAGGTTGTATAATTAATTAATGATTAGCTGGTAAAATTTGTGCCGAGTCCATTTGATACTGAACAGAATAAAAGTCTATTGATTAGGGAGTGTGTATGATGAGGATGGAAAGAAGTACTGGAGAGGGACATGTATGTGAGTGGAACAAGTGACAGTGAGAGGGAAAATATGGAAAAGTAGAGAGGGTAGGGAGGTATAAACGTGTCTTTGTGAGGACGGATACGTGAGTTAGGTAAATGTGTATAGAAGGGGTTATTGGAGAGGAGTTAAGTTGGATGGATATAGAATCGTGGGAGGGTATCTGTTGGAGGAGTTTGGTAAATGTGAGGGTATATCTGAGAGAAGAGAGTAGCATGTGTGAGGGTATCAGTGGGAGGTATTGGTATGCGTGAGGGTATCTGAGGGTATCTGAGAGTGGTATGTGTGGTGGTATTTGATGGCAGAAAGTGATTGGTGTGAAGAAAGGGTACATGTGAGTGAAATGGATACACATGTTGGGATATGGTGCTGAAGCAGGGTACGTGTTAAGGGGACATGGGTACGTGGGTATGGGAGGGGGGCAAAATGAAGGGGAGGTGTAGAAGATAGGGGAGTGGTTATAACCAGTCTGTACCTATATTGAAACTTGAAGTGATGAAAAAATCTTATAAAAGTATCATCAATTAATACTGTATAATACATTATGTTTTGATCATTGATGTTTTTTTTATATTACATCTTTTTATGGTGCCCATTTCATGACAATTTCCCTAAGTGGAGTACCTGTCCTTTTCTCTCCATTTATTTCTCGGCATTCAGACGAATCTTCCTTTTGTGATAATATTCGAAAATCCTCACAGAAAGGAGTTTCCCGGTAATTGGTGTCCATCTGACAAACAGGTGTGTCCGGGGGTGTCATCGGATATCTCGTAGTCTCCGTGTAGTGATGCTGATACCGCCAGAGATAGTGATGACGTTGTAATGCTGATACCGCTAGCGATATCGATGACGTTGTGTATGTGTTATTGTAGTGTCACCCAGCGAGCTAATTGTATTTAGAGACTTTTGATTGGCCGTGTTTGTGTCTATTTTGTAGCAAGGAAAGTGTCTAGAGATAACATCTTTACGTACGGTACCGAGGTATATTTCTACGCAGTGTTATTTATTATTCGGAGCGGGAAATGCTTATATGTACCAATGGTACACACATAGTAACAAATTGATACAGAATAAAATTCGACAATTTTAATAAAGAAATTGTTAATCTTAATTAATCAAATAATATTTACTTCGAAATGTATCTCTATAGTTAATTTCAATTTTATGAATCGTTTTTTTCTCGCATTATACCCTAAATTCTTAAACAGATACTTAAACAGTATCGTCATTATATTCGAAATAATGATCCGGAATTTGGCACGAATTTTACTTAAATATTACGTGTCGCAAACTGTATTACTTTCTTCATTATTCAGCAGGTATTTTTCGGAAATATACAGTTTATTTAAATAGCCTGAATTGATTTCTGTAAAATAGTAAACCACATCTAGAGAGCCAAACTTTCAACTTAAAACTTAAATAAATGCTTTGCCGTTTAATATGTGTAAGTCACCAATTAAGAACTGCAGCCTTTGTCCGCGAATAAAATATCTTCTCGTTGTACTCGGCCAGCGCTGTTTGAACAGTAATGACCAAGCAAGCAAGAGGATTATTCGTATTATACCTCAAGAGTATATCAAATTTTGTTTGTGTTGGAAATAATCCGATAAAAAGCTTATAGCATCGTTTTAGTAAAGACGCTACATTCAAAAGGTTATTTCATTGCGTAACAGTTAAATAGTGTATTTTGGCCCAGGCGGGAGCTTATTGATAAATGTGTTATATCTGACTTCTTATGAATATAATTAATACTCGGCTTGTTTTCATTCTGTGAAAGAAAAATATTATGAAGTAGTTAAGTATTAGTGTGAGATATCGTGATTACATAGGAAATATTTAATTCCTCATAACTACAGAATTGTAAATATTATTTTTAACAAAGGAAAGATGATCCCCGCTAAATAACATTGTTATGCTATTGAAGAAGACATTTTTACTCCCTTTTAATGTTAATAATATCTGTATAAATAAAATTAAGAGCATCCCGGGGAAGGGCGTTTAGCGGATTACGGCCTCACACATATCAATGGGTACAAACAATATTAGTTTTAGTGTTAAAACAAGTTAGTTGATATTGTGTATATAAATAAAATTGTCCTATTTTCAGGTAGAGTGAAACTGATCTTAATAAATATACTGAAAGCTCATATTTTACAAAACTAATAAATAACTGAAAGAGTAACGAAAGAATAATAATTTCTAATAAATGGATTGGTTTCACTTTAAAAATAATCAACAGGTTTTAAAATTACATATCAGAATTATTATTTGTACCCAGACTTTTTTACAATATAAAATAATACTTCACAAGCCTTTAAAAATCATTTTGAAGTTCAGTCATGAATTTATTATCACACTTGTTAATTTCATTCAAATGATAAAGGAACGAAATAAGATTATTTTTTAAACTAATAAATAGCATTAGAACATTTGCGACAAATTGTAGATTTTGTCCATACTAATCTCTTAAAGCAAATTACGTTTTGTTGATTTGGAAATAACATATTGTTAATATATGATAATAGAATGTTCACATGTATGTCTACAATATAGATATAAGGAAATATTTTTAAAAGAAATTTTGATTCCTTTTACTCCAAAATTAAATAGAAATTTTTTTCACGCTATAATGTTTGTTAAATCATTGATAAAGTTAAACTGTTCAAAATGTATTTTTTTTAAATCGTTTTATCATTATTCTAAAAATATGCAATTCATTTGTAGCCGAGAACTTGAATAAATGTTATACAAGTACTATTCCCCGAGACATGCAATCGATGCTTGTAAAATTCAGTATTAAACAAAACGATAAGACAATGGGTTTTTTTATCAATCATATTCATTAATATTTCGACAATAAACTGTAAAATAACTTACATACACAGTCGGTACAATCGTTCAACAACAACTTTAGAATGACAACATAACACTTTTTGTAATTAACGAACTGTCTTTGATGAATGTACATCGTCCACATCAATATTTCACCGACAACAGTTTTGTTAAAGCACGGAAAATGGTCAGATCATATTTCAGCACGGTAACATTAATGTTCCTGAACTATTTCCACGGTGTCCTAGGAAATGGATATTTCAGCACGATAATTTAAAATGTTTCTCAAATCTTCTCATCCATATTTCAGCACCTGGTTCATTCATTAAAATGGCACTATAAGAGTTTGCGGGGGTTAAGTTTGCGTTCACCCTCCCCACGGGGTCCGGAACACCACACAACATGTCCTCTATGAAATTGTCTGTATCACATATGTTCGGCCTCTCTACCGGGACGATTCCCTCCCCCAACAACACTTCCACGTGGTAAACAGATCAGCTATAAATATCACTATGAACATACTTTGGTATATTAAAAGGAATACTGACTAACAACTATATTTAAGTTACATTAATAATAATAAGACGGAAAATGAAATACTTTCAAAGTAACAACTTCTGTTACCTTATTTCTATCTAGGCCAGCTGGTGAAACCACAAGCTTGAATATACTGACGGTATTTCTCGATATCGAGAGCGTTTAAGTTCGGTATAGAAGCTTGTAGTTGTGCGAGAAATGCAGAGTTCGTGGTGGGTCGCCCCATGTCCAAAAGTCCAGGTCGAAGTCCGGACATTGCACTGGAAAGCGAAAGTCCTGCTGCCGGTCGGAAAGATGATGAAATTGATGACACACTGGAAGATGATGGCGGCGATGAGTGTGATGATGAAGATGACTTTTTACTGTCTGTATTCCCCATGATACTGTCTATGGAGAACCCGGACTTGGGTGGGGAGGTGGAGGATAGCGCAGGACTGGGCGTGGACGCCACACTTTGTGGGGATGGGGCACTAAAACCCCTGCCCAAATGGTTGGAAATTGCAGAATCCCGAAGCGTGCCGGAGAATCCCAGCGCCAAAGCAGGTGGTAACGCCGGTCTCGTGCTCAACTCCCCACCCTGGGGGAAGAAGGAGAGGTGTGACGTCATGAGGGGTGAGATATACGGGTAAGGGATACCCGTCCCTGCCATGGCCTGGGGGTGATGGGGGTGAGAGTAATGCGCGTTCAGGAAACTATGGTGATGGAAATATGGATCCCCCGCGGACATAAAAGCTGTGGGCTGTTGCATGACGTCAGGCGTCGTCCGTTTGTACCTTTTCCTCCTCCTCAAGAAACTGCCATTGTCGAACATGTCTTCACTGCTCGGGTCAAGGGTCCAATAATTCCCCTTCCCAGGGTTCCCTGGTTCCCGAGGTATCTTCAGAAAACAGTCATTCAAAGACAAATTATGACGAATGCTATTCTGCCATGCTGGAAACTTTTCCCGATAATATGGGAATCTATTCTTGATAAAGTCACAAATCCCGGAAAGTGTAAGTCGCTTTCTTGGAGACTGGAGAATTGACATGGTGATGAGAGCGATGTAAGAATACGGAGGTTTAACCACGCTCCCTTTCTCTCGTTTCTTATTTTCCTTTGAACTTTCATCGCTGTCATTGTCCACATGATTTTCGTCACTTCGGTCAAAAATTTCTGAATTTCCCGGCGACATTACGGGGGAAGCCGAAGTATCCATGAAGGAACGTCCGCTGTCATCAATATCAATTTCTTCATCGTCGTCGTCATCTTCTTCATCATCAGACAACTGTCTCTTTGCTGACCATTTCATTGACGGGTCCAAACAGTTGCCGTTTTCTCCCTGAACTTTGATTAGTTTGTCGTTGGTCATCTGTTCCTGTTTTAGATGAGACTGTAAGAAGCTCTGGTTGTCCGGTGTTAGGGCAAGCCCTTCAATAGTTGAACCATCCATGTCAAATTTCATTTCAACAGGTTTTTTCCAAGTGTTCATTCACAATCATTTATAAATCCGTATTGATGTAAAGTCTCTTCACGTCAAGTTATAAATTAACACCAATTATTTTTTACCGGTTAAGCCAAGTAAAAAATCAGAGTAGCGGATCAGACGTCGTCTCTGGTGTGAGTTTGATTCAGAAATGTCGTACTGTGTCCATGCTCAAGCTAATGTCTTTACAAATACCAGATAGGGTTTACAAATGATATTGCAGGTCAACATAGCCAGGGTGTTTGACAGTGCAATAATACCCAGAAATGTCAATAAAATCTCACCTAGCCTATCTCTCGCTAACCAAGTCCCGCCCACATTACGAGCTCGGCAAGGCTATAAGCCTGTCTCACTTGAGGGGTAACGCCCCTTTTCGTCGGGTTAGCAAACAGAAAGTGACACGCCCCCTTTTACACTATCGCAAAGCAAACTTTGCCTTACAGCCTGATCGGTTTACGGGGTATCGTAAAGGCGTCAAATGGAAGCGATTCTGTTACAATCTGTGCTGTACACATAAGTATTACCTATAGCAGGTGCACGAGGAAAAGTGTACGTCAATTCCAATGTCTGCTTATAATACCTTAATGAAACAAAATTAATATACAGATATTATTTTTAATATTAAAACTTAATCATTTGACTGAATATATTCAAAATAGTTTAAACGATTGTACCATGTATAATTTATATTGTATTTTTATATTTTATTTATTTATATTTTCTTATATTGTTTATATGACTTGTGAACTTTTGTATGAAATTATATCATTTATTTTTATTTTTTAAAGATCAACCTTTTGAGTAGCTGTCAGTTGTATTTACATTATATAAGATTCTTGTTACGAATGCTCAACAGGACAAAAAAATTCAGACACTAACTATTTTGTGATGTTCTTAATCGCACTGAAGAATATCATCTACATCCCGATCTTCAGATGCTGTTGAAAACTACTACCAAACAATCAGTAATCTTCATGAAATTGATAAATAATGATGAGGACAAATTTTATTTTTCATAATTAAATAGTATAACAATTGCTTGGATGACAGGCTTTTTCTTAAATTAAAAATATACTTAGAAATTAAGTTGTGTTTGTTTATAAAAAAAACACCATATATAACATATCGTTAGCTTAACACATTTGTTCCTCAAAAATATTCGGATTAACGCTCCTTTTCTAAAATTAGACTATCAAATGGGTGGATTTCATTTGAAAGTTCAACTGCAGGCCCCCAAGAAAACGACGATATGCTTTGTAGCAATGACGTTATACAGGATTATTCGCGACTGGTCTTGAAGGTGTATAAGAAATTCCCGTTTTAAACAATGATATATTTTCTAAAGTAAATGAACTCATTTGAGACTTATTCAAACAAGAATCGTCTGCTTTGGAAAAAAAATAAAAAAATAAAAAATTTGCAAAACAAGATTATTTATTTATCTCTCCCTATCAATAGGAAATCTTTAAAATAAATCCGCAAGCAATTATACTACTGACTATGGTTTATATATTAGAATTGAAAGTGGAAATAACCATTCACATCATGCGACTTACAATGTTACATGATGTGGAAGATGAATATATTTTCAATTTGAAATGTCCTTACAATATTGATACAATATAGGAACTCGTTAAGAGCTATTTTAAAAACTATATCAATATTGATAAGTTGATTCAATAGCTAAATTGTAATGATATACGAAAACAAATAGAAATCTGCGAAAATATCAAATACTTTTTACATACAGACAAAATAAGATCTCAAATAACGTTCTGGTAAGTGTCCACTAGACTTTCGTAATGAAAAATACTTTAAACACTGTATTTTATTTTGTATTTGTCATTTGCTTAGGAATTTTTTGTGTGGTATGTTTGTTTGTTTGTTTTGTTTGTTTGTTGTTTTTTTGCTTTTTTTTTATTTATTTGCAATAATCCAGTACAATAATACCCATTTAAGTTCGTAAATGGAAATAAAGGAAAACACTTCCTATCTGGTATTTTTTACAGAAAATAAAGTCGCGTTTTAGTCGCGCGTTTTGTTCATTGTGGGTATCGGGGAAAGTAGAATTGTCATAAGCAAAGTGATTCAAATTCTGTTTATTTTTGTTTTAACAGAAAGTGTTATTCTACAGGCATAATATCTAGTTATAATTGGTATGGACTTGCACTGCATATACACTAGTCTAGTCTAGCATTCTACGGACAGATTATCGAATAGCTTTATATGTTGTAAACAAAGTGATATTGACATACATTTTACAGATTATATTTCATAGGAACATCACACTTTTACGTTTAAAAGATACGTTATCCTAAGCATCAACTTCCTCGAATCCAATCAAATAAAATCCAATAAAATTGGAAAAAAATCATTAGACAAAAAGAAAAAAAGGAAGGGTCGATTTCTACCGGATAGGTCCTATTCACACGCGTGTTTGTCACTGATCATTAACGCGCTCGCGTGCTGTTAAAATACTCAACTGGTCAATTACGGACACATTTGACCAGGGATTAAACCGCCCCGATCTCATTGCTGGTGAGTACCCATGTCCAAATCAATCACTAGCTTACCTCGAGATAACTGTTTATGTAATCAACCGTATTATATTTAATTTCCAACTAGACTCGGTGTCGATTTCAACAACTAAGTATATACTATATGCAACCCAAGATAAACCTTGATTACCAAACGAGAGATTTGTAAAGCTTATATACGTTATCAAAGATTGATAGCCGTCCCTTCAAAGACAATTTTCTCTAGATAAAATCTAAGTTGTTCCTGAAAATTTGTGGCCAACTTTTATTTCTCTACTACCAGACTGTATAAACCTCATATCACTGGTATTACTTTATAATCAATTAACACCAGTAAACTACAAAAGCAATTAATAAAGGCGGCGATGCTACCCCTAATTAGACAAGATATCATCAGCGAAGCGGTAGATCTCCGCCGTTTTTTCCTGCGATACGGACCAGGACAAACTCCTGGTTGCCGGCGGAGCCTCCAGATTTCGATGGGTCTTCTTTAAAAGCATGATCGAGCGATAGGGCTGTATCATGGTCACGAGGGACCTCGGCGGAGTCGATCGGGAGGGACCTGCTGAGATGACAAGTTGGTGAGACAGATTATCTTATATCCCTCTGAGTTTGTTCACAACCTGTAGCATCTTCCTCATATGAAACGTATCAACACGGCTAATTAACGTGTTTGGTCGTTACATAAATTCCCAGCGTGCGAAGCAATCGAGGGAAAGTTGTTGTAGTGACTTAAGTTTAGCCAGTTAACCTCACTATGAAGGGGGAAAACAGTTTGCCGAGAAAATCCAAACATTGCATACTTATCTTGACTAGAACGCGAGAAAACAGTTTGTAAAGAAAAGCCAAACTCAACACTAACAATGTATGTAGAAAATGTTTGTCCGTAATAACATATATACGGTGTCAGTTCGGCATAGACACACGCTGAGGTTTACACGTAATGAAATGTACACTTTGGGGGCTAAAAGGCGTAATTGGGCGACAAACAACGGAAGACGCGGTAGCTAGATAATCGACAAACGCCCCTCATTCAAGCGCCTCAAAGTACAGAGGGCAAACAGATTACATCAGGGATGACCGCCCGTGTTCACAACAATGTTTTTGGTGGACACTTGTAACAATGTGTTTGGCGGTAAATATTTACACATTACCGACATTTCGATAGATACAGAGCACTAATACATTACCACTACCAGATTAGTATGATACAAAAGCCAGGTAAGGAAAAGGGCTCAGGTAAATTCTAAAAAGGGAACCGGAGAAGGGGGACGACCCGCAGAGATCGAGAACTGTATTAAAACTATACCGGGGGAGGGAAGAGGCACTTACCGTACAATTGATTCATGTCGCGATTTTTATTGCATGACACCTGCGAAACGAAAAATATTGAAAGTATTGAGGCCCAAATAAGTCAATATTTATCTGTGCTATTGTAACCCGGTATCTAAAGGGATCGTCCTTTATGAACCACCCCTGTCGGTACCGTGCCCGGTTATCATAGCTGTTGACACAGTTCAGGACAAATGTGTATATAGACCCCCTCGTAAATTTGTCAAAATTCATTCTGATCGAGGTTCTCAAATTCTGCCAACACTATGGTAAAGTAGCAAAATTACGTGGAATTTTTATACCCAAGTATGACACCATGTATTATCTCTGGTAATAAACTCAATATACGGTCATATGGATGTTGATCCGGGAACATGTATCGGCGATGTTAAGTCTTATATTGTTACTTATCAATCCGAAATTGATCTTCTGCTATATATTATCGTTCGCTTATCGACAAAGGCAGATTTGGAAATATTACACTTATCCCATTTCTAAAGTTATGACAAAGCTCCAATCGCTCGTGATGGGTTGACGCAGGGCCCTTATTCAAATAAACAGTGAAACATATACTCCCCTCGTGATTTATATAGGAATTAAAGGCAATGCTTGTTGGCTACACCGCGTCGACACCCGAGAGGGGTCAGGTCCTAATCCCATTTGTTAGTTTTGTCAGAACCTCGTAGTGATTAAACGCTAAATGTCAAAGTCTGTTTATATAGCAGGCTTAATAATCTACCATTAAATTTTGACCTATAATGGAGCATTTTACATGGGAAATGAAATTAGATGTAAACGGGAAAAAATCAAAAATCACGCGAAGTTTCACATGATGCGTAAGTTATTTTAGAGCGTATGACTTTTTCCTGATTTAGAGCAAAACATACGGTGTGGAGCGATACCCTGCCTAGTGGTTATACGATGACGGAGTTGTAGACTGTTTTTTGCCGCATGAGTGGAAATGTAAATGTTAGCAAATAAATTAAGTATGTCTTTTTTAACTGTCAAAGCATTGTCATTTCCCATGGAAACTGGACTGGCGTAGAATTTCATCAAGAAAAACAACATTCAAAGGCAACCTGTTGAATATGTTAATTGAAAAACATATGGCATATTTTTTTTGGTGGGGAAGGGTTGGTGTAAATTTTGAAAATCTAGATCCTTTGTAAGTTGTATCAGTGTACTAGGTACAACAGAGACAATCGCGTTTTAAACTCATAAAGACAATGAGACACTTTTAAATAAAACTATATGACAATGTTTATTTATAGGGTTGCGAAAGAAAACGATATCTGTGTTAACGTTTATCTCAAAACACAACATAACTTACAAAACTAATTGAACAA